TGAAGGAGGAGACATCTTGTGTCTTTAGAAATGAACCACATTGCATATATTTGCATAATTAGGGACTTTAACGTGGGAATGATCAAAACATCAGACACAGTATGTCTTAATATGTGCCTGGAGGGGATATTTAAAACGTATCCAGGCTAACATGATTAGCCAGCTAAAATGATCTTTCATCCAGCTAATAACATTTTTTGGGATTTCCAGCTAACTAGGGCGGTACTTTTGCAGGTTTGTTACTCTGAAAAACTGAACTGCCAGTTTTGAAGAGGTGAAAAGTTCGGGCTCGTCCCGATTAATCACCTGTCAGCTATCAAATCCAGCTAACTCACTCAGGACTAAAGCAACAAGAAATGCAACAAAGCAACAAGAAATGTGTCACTGCCCCCCCCCCCAGTCACTCTGTGACTGCATGTTTATAATACAATCTGCATGTGAGACACACTCTAATGCCAGGTATATTGTGTACTTACATCAGCTTCAGACCAGGTCAGACTTTCGTAGTTGTGGTAGTAACAGCGGCCGAGGAACCCCGTCCAGCCTTGAGGACACAGCATTGCTGTTGCTGCGAACGTCACACAAAAAGAGGAAAATTACAAGTTGTGCACTTTGCATCATCCTTTTCTGCTGCTGCCAAAATGCCTCTGGACGCAATTGGATAGACCGCCAATCGATCAAAGCAATGAAACGTGTGCGTAATTGCTAAATTGAACTTACCAAATCCTTTTGGAAGTGAGGCAAACACATATTTGCTTTTAGCGCAGTTGTTCTTTTACAGAAAATATACTGTAGTGACCAGTAGGGCTGCCCCCCTAATAGTCGACCTAACCGATAGTCGCTGAGAAGAGTCTCAGTCAATCCACTTTTCGGATAGTTGCAGAAAAGGAATACAAATACAATATAAGCTTGCAGATTCGTCTGGCTTCCAGGCTAACAAAAATCCCTCCAGAGCAGACAGAACACATACTTTTTTTGAGATTCAAGTCTCAACCTAAATTGTTTCAGTCAGTTCTAAAAATAACAGAGCCTTTAGGGCCTCCAATCAGATCAGTGTGATTCAAATGAGATGCCAATAGAGATTAAAGCCTTGGTAAAGTAAGGACAATAAGTCATAAGTGCTGTATAATATTGTGTTAAAAAGAACTGTAACATGAAGAATAATGCAAGCCTCTGTCTCATTCTGACTGTAACTTAACTGTGAACCTCTCTTATATGTTTTTGTGCAATGCAGAGAAGACATATTGACTTACGGACATTGGAGTTCTTCACACAGATGTGAGAATAGCGACCAGCGTTGCACGGGGAATTGCTCCATGCCTCTGTGAAAAGAGAAGATTAGAAAAAGGCCATGAGAATAATGGAGCAGAGGGTTATGTAACATAATAACACTCACTCAAGTTTCTGAAATCTTTGATTTTTCATTCTGAAAATAAAGTCCATGTGTGTGACAAGCTAAATCATCCTCAGAGTCACTATAGTTTTCTGCTTTCTAATGGCTTGGGGCCACTGGGCAGCTCACTGCTGTAGTCTGTAAAACTCTCTTATACACTGTATTATAAGGCT